GTTTTTTTCTGATCTTGTTTTCCCCTTGATATCTGAATCTTAATAACACTAAACGCAATTATACTGATTTTACAGGAGATGATTTCATTCCTTTGCATCTAATGAAAATCCCTATGGCAGCATTTTTCTGAAGTCAAGCATTTTAAAGTCCTGCATGAATAGTAGCTCCTTTTTCTACGTAAATGACTTGTTTAATTTTTACACCACACAGTATTGAAAATTCTCATCTCGAATGAAGCCCCCCCCCCAAATTGTAAACTGAAAACAAAGAACTGTAAAGGCAAAATCCAAAGGATTTTTTTTGGAGGGGGGAAATTTTTAGGTTTTATTTCTCTCCAGCATTTTGTTCCTAATTTTTTCTTTTGCAAGTCTCCCTTGTATCTGCTGGTCTCAATTTTCTACCTTCATTTGCAAACAATTGCGAGTGGGACCCTCTGAGAAGAGCTTTTTGAATCTCTTTTGCTCATCTCATGTAAGAAATACTCCGTTAATTTAATACAAAATACATTTCCGCAGTTTGCCGTGTCCCTCTGTGTTTCAGAATGGCAACCAGGGAGAGGATCCTGCAAGGACAAGGTTGCTGTGCCTGCATCCAGGTTCAGGACCCCGCTGTGTCCCAGGAGGAGCCTCGGGCTGCAAGGAGGGGAGAGGTGAGGGTCTCTGCTGAAGTCGTTCCTTCCCTCCCCATCTCTGATAACGATGGGGGGCCGGCGTTAGGACTGCAAGGATTAGTGGTTGTGAGGATGCTGCTTCCTTGGGGAGTTGCTTTATGCTGGTCAAAGTTTCCTCCAGGATACAGTGGCTTTCATGTGTTTGCTTTTGCCAAAGCCCAGGAGGGGCTTTTAGTGGCCCAGCAGTTATGAGAAGGTCACGGCCCTCCCTACCCGTGGCTGGTGGAGGTGCCAGTAGAAATCAGCAGCATGGACACAGCTTTTTTTTTTTTTGACTTAGCCTTGCAAATCTCAGTCAAGAACAGTTATCTGCAAATATGCAAGGCTAGGAGTGTGTCTGAAATGTAGTTTGAAGAAATTTTAATGGCTCCTATGCATCATTTATAGCAGTAAAACATAGATCCAGATCCCCTGAATAAACAAAGTGATTAATCTAGTGCTAAATCTTAATTTATACTTTCATCTCATGAGTTTTCCAAACTGCTTCAGTAACTCAGTAAGCACGGTATAAATTAAAAACCTGGGGTTGCCACATAATCTAACAATACTATTCCAGACTGCTACTATTCAAGCTATTCAGGAAAATACCCTCGCCCAAGATTAAAGCTGTGTTTCTTGCTTTAGCTTTAATGTGCAGCAATTACGGCATTAAATTGAAGTCTGTGAAAGAGTAGCTTGGTGAATATGGAAGCACCAATGTAAAATGCAGTAATCTTAAATGGTTAATCTTTCCCTGTTGAATGACTTCAGTTTCGAATGAAAAGTCCTAAGTTGAGACCAAAATAAGGATTTCATTACAATTGATTTGATTGCCTTTTAGCTTCAATTGGTGTGTCCATGATCTTGTCAGAAACATACCTGCTGAAGACATAAGTATTTTTAACTCCAGTTTAAAACATTGAAAAAGGTTATTTAAAAAGTATTGAAAAAGGTTATTAATTTTTTAAAAAGCACTGTTTGAGCTCAGGACCCAGCTCTGTCTTCAGCAGTACGAATGAGCGTCAGTGAGTTCCACCGCAGGAGCTGTGACCAGCCCATGTCCTACACGGTGTTAGGGCATCGTGCTGCAAAACTCCTAATTGATTTCTCTGGAATAGCCCCAAAAGCTGGTGAATCAATCTAGCCTGGGATGCTTTAAGTAAGTAATAGACTTTCCTTAATCAACTTTTTATTGCTGAAAGCTGTAGACTGTTGTGCAGGAAAGGGTGGTCTCAAATAAATCACGGAGGATTACAATTCTCTCCACTTACATTAAAGGAGAATTGATTGTTTTCTCCAGCCTGCCTGAAACAAGCAACCTTTCTTGTCCGGCAGCTGAGCTTTGAGCGTACTGGTATGTAGTAAATTCAGACTGATTGAATGAGATGGTTTCCTTGCTCATATTTCACCAAGACAAGGCAATGAAAGGCAGCCTCACAATGCTGCGTTTCGTACTGCACTCTGAACCGGGTTGGGAAATCTAAGAATAAATGCTGGCCCATTTTAAGGTCACCAGGGAAGGAAACGAGTGCTATGATTGCTGGGAAAGAGCCACAAAAATCAATTAGCCTATGAAATCCAGAGGGGTTATCGGCTCCAATAAGAACAGTGTTGTAGCAACCCTCCTGGGATGGATTTGTCCCTTTTCCCAGTGGGGTTTTGTTGTGCCGCCTGGCTGTGCAGCACAGCTGCCCACGGGTACCCCGCTCTGCGCCAGCGGTGGAGGGAGAAGAAAACGTTTGCTTGTTGCATCTCTGCATTTACCTGGGACAGCCCAGATTTGAAGCTGAATTCCCCTTTCGGTGTGTTTCTGTGCAGGCACACGCACACGTGCACCCATGACCCCATAGACCTATTTCTGTAATTTTGCTTTTACCCCTTCTAAACTCCCGCTGCAAGGAGAGGAGGGCGATGCCAAACTCTGCACACTACATATTGAGAGAGAAACCCGGACACTGCTAAAGCCAAATGGAGCAATTCGCGCTGAGTCTGACGATACCAAAGCATGATGCTGTGAGTTGAAAGAGGAGTGTCCCTAAAGCCCTGAAAACTGGTGTTGGGGGAAAAGCCAAAAAAACCCCACGTGAAGAGCAGCGTCCCAACCCAGCGAAAGCGTTTGGGTTTCCTCGGATTTCAATGTCACCTTGGTCCTTTCAGGGGACTTTGCCAATCCCCCCTTCTCCCCACACCGTGCGGGCTCTCATTGGCCACGGGAGCAGCTCTTACACAAATAAAACTGATTCTCTCCGAAAATAAGATTGCCTTTTTCAAAGTGCCATTGAGGGGGGGTCGTCCTGGGAGCAGGACCGTTTATGAGGTAGGAGATAGCACGCACTGTCGTTTAGTCTTCAGGTGGGATGTTTGTAATGAAGTCGTAGAATTTAAGACATAGTGGCTGTATAATTTGTCTCAAGAAAAGTTACTGTCTGTAATGAATGTCTAGCTGCATGAGGACTGGTGTTTTTCCTCCCCTGTATATGAGCTTGAAATAATTAAATAACAGAAAGTGCCATCATCTACCTTATATTTAAAGCTGGGAGATTAGGATTAAATACCTGTTGTGAACTGGAATATCTAAATACTATAATTTTAGGGACCAAACAAAAGAACAAGTGTATTATTACAATGTTATTATGGGACACATGCTAACTATTAGTAGATATTTAGATCCAATTAAATATAGATGTACTGAACAAGATGTCACTGCAGCAAAGTTTAATTCTTCATATTTTCTGTCCACTGTGAATCATAATCTTTCCTAGTGGGGGGATTCAAATGGATGATTTTAGAATCAGTGGTGGTGAGCTAATGTAATAAAAAAGTCCAAAATTTCAGTTTTTTTAAAATGCATGCATATATTTAGGAATAATTATTTTAGGAACAGTCTTGCCCATTGTAATGAAAATCTGTTTAATGATTCCTTGCTTTGAGCAACTTATTTTCTAAACAGACTGGTAAGGTATAATTTTTTTATTAAATACATTTTTCCGGTATTTGATGGCAATCCATCAATCTGGCTACATAACTGGAGAGTCTCTGGTTTTAGAGCTTGTTGCAGAAGTGGTTTGTGACAATAAAACATAGAAGCAATTTTGATTTGAAAACTGATTTACTGTTTCCCCATCAAGTTACTAGGTCTCTAAAGCCACAGTTTCTTTCTGCTGCTGGCTTTAGGCGTGTGGAAGTTACGGGTTTATTTAGTTATCTCCAGCAGTGGCAAAACACTCCCGCGTGAGTATATTCTGCAAAAGGAGAATTTGGTGCTTTTTGTTCTCTTCCTAGCCGGCAGATGACCCTCCTTCTCTGCGACTGTGGCTGCTTCCCTGCTGCAGGCTGTAAGCTCTGGCTCCTCTCTGCCTGCCTCTGCTGAGGGCTGCCCTCCCGTCCCAACCCCCCCGGAGTTAAACGCTTCATGGTAAGGCTGACAGGGGCTGGTTGGGAGAAAATACGAGCCTATGACACAAATCAGCGCCCGGTATCCTGTCCTAATGCAACACACGCATGGAGAAGGGATAATTTATCCTTTACTGGAGCTGATGGGGTGAAGAATGGGTTAAAGGGCAGCAATGGGCAACTCTGATCACTGGGGATTTTGTGTGGATAATCAATTTTCCATTAAATGATTTTTTTTGGGGTGTGAAAATGGAAAAAATCATGACCCTTTCCGCTAAAACTGAATTCTTAAAGATGGAAAAGTTATAATCCAGCCCCCCAACACCTGACTTTGAGTCAGACCTCCTTTTGCCCTCTGGATGGCAAGGATAGTCAGTGTTTCTCCTGGTACCTTTTTCATGTAATGAAGTGCCTTAGCTGCTAAGGAAGGTTAGATTACAGGTTCAGCAAGAAAGGGAGTCTGTTCTGTTTGTATTTACAGGTCAGTACACTGATTTTAAAAAGAAACAAAGATGCTTTATATGACAAGTCATCTGAGAGGCATCATCTGTCCTATAGAAAAAATGTGTGCTTCTTACTTTTTTCTTTCTTCCTCATTCAGCTACATCAACGCTTTAAAAAAAAAAAAAAGACCTGAAAGTTGACACTAAAAGAATATGCAAGTCCAGAAAACCAGTCAGTAACAAAGAAAAAATCGACATAAAAATTTTAGAATACTTGATGGTTCATTTTGTTTCCATTTATTCTTTTAGAGGAAAGCTTTTTATAATGTGCAGTTGTGTTGGACCCTGAAATCATTACTGAATTATTCCTGATGGTACACTCGGAAGAGACACATCGTGTGTCCCAGTGATCGTGTAACTCTCAGTCAGTCCCTTGAACTTCTATTGATACCCGTGGGAGCACTTCCAACCACAGGTAACAGGAGCAGCAGGACGGCAAGGGCTCTTTAGGGTGATGGTCAACAGGGGTGAGCAGGCAGGAGGTTTTCCTAACTTTGCTTTACTTTTCCCATAAAAAGTCAGGCTTTGTAATATAGTCCTCCAAACAGATGCCCACATGTGCCTGAAACTACTCACGGAGGTCTTCTGGCTTTGCGGGGAACCTGTGGATGCAAAGGGTGTTGTGCAGCAATTCATTTTTGTGTTCGTCTTTTCCCACAGCTGCCAACATGTGGAGCTCATCGGGGCCCGTCTCGGCGTTGGTGATGCTGGTTGTTACCGCCGTGCACGCGGGAGTGAAGGTGACCCCCGCTGTGAAGGACACGAAGACAAAGCCCTTACAGCTGGTGGGCAACGGAGCCTCTCACACCTCCCTCACCCCTCTCATGGGGAAAAGCCCGTTCCCGGCAGCACCGGGCAGAGCCGAATTACCCACCCTGA